GACTACATTCTCTTTTGGAGTTCTTCGTAATCAACACCCCGACATACATCTCACACTTGCCAATACTGATAACGTCCAGAAGTCTATATCCTCACTAGATGCCATGGTCACTATTGAAAACAGCAAATTTGTTCCACCGTATATTCCAAACCACGTGTTAAACCCATTATTCTACACTATAACTCATACCAGCTACCAAACTAGGTGTCATTATCGGTCAACTTAATATAACTGAAAAAAAACTGCAATACAATGGGCGGTAAGACGCAAGCCAGGATGAAACTTCAAAAGCTACTATTGTCCAAAGGCTATCCGGATAGTTACATTACTAAGACATCCCACAGTTTTGACACACAAGATTATAATAAAAGACAGCAAAGAAAGAACCCAAAACACCGTTAATTGGACTATACTCTTCGTGGATAAATCTTTAACTACTCGACATCGTCAAGCGATTAGAAGATGCTCATCATATAAATACCAAGTAAAAACTGAAGGATATACTTACTTGTTCAACCTTCAATAATAACAGTCCATGAAAAATCCAAAAAGTGCTTTACTAATAAGACCCATGGCTTAGAAAAATCCTGCACACCATCTATGAAATCACATGTACACAGTGTCCAACCACCTACGTAAGTGAATCCAATCATCCAATACGTGATCGTTTCAAAGAACTCGTTCGTGCCACTGCAAATCTGGGCGACAAAAAGGCCACTGCTGAACATTACACCAATGCACACGGCATAATTAACGAGACACCTTATAGAACCCACATTTTAGAGACTTGTGACAACTTTCTTGACAGGAAATTTAAGGAATCTCTCAATATTCAATCAAAACGCCTTTCCATTAACAAATACAATGCCTGGCCCTTATAATATTATTATTATTATTTCATGCAAGATTTTTTAACACTGAATTTTTTATTATCAGCGACTCTAACCTGTTCAACAATACTTTTAAAACGCTTCACTGTACACCGTTCCGTTATATTACTGCAGTTTTAAATTATTTTCGGTTACAATAATTAAAAATCAGTTTTTGTGACCTGAGACGTTCATAGACCCTTGAAAAAGGCGTAAGCCGATTTGTTTGCTTGTTTGAAGTTAAGCACAAAGCTACACAATGGGCTATCTGTGCTCTGCCAAGCATGGGTCTCGATACCCGGTTTCTAGCGTTGTAAGTCCGCAGACATACCGTTCTGCCACTGGGGGGCAAGGTAAGTCGAAACGACGGGTAAAATAAATAAACATTCATCTAAAGTTGTTTGTCGTGTTCATTCAACATTGTTCCCATCTGAAGTTGTTTGTCGTGTTCATTGAAAATTGTTCCCATCTGAAGTTGTTTGTCGTGTTCATTGAAAATTGTTCCCATCTGAAGCTGTCTGTCGTGTTCATTGACAGTTGTTCTCATCTGAAGTTGTTTGTCGTGTTCATTAAAAATTGTTCCCATCTGAAGCTATCTGTCGTGTTCATTGAAAATTGTTCCCATCTGAAGCTGTCTGTCGTGTTCATTGACAATTGTTCCCATCTGAAGTTGTTTGTCGTGTTCATTGAAAATTGTTCCCATCCTTCAGTCAGCACCGAAAGTGTAAACAAATGTTAATTTCCTCTCGAAAATCTTATGTACTCACTATTAGATTTGTTTCTTTGTTGTTTAGCACAACACTACACAACGCATCATTTGTGTTGTATCGAAACCCACTTCTGGTCTGACTTTTTCGTTTATATATATTTGGTATTTTCAGCATTAACGGCGGGCGGTTTATGCAGTACATGAACTAAGCCACTGTCGTAAGAATGTCCCCGCAATTGGGGGAGGGGGCGGATCAACCAGAATAGGGAAATACATATAAGGAGCCCAATTACTTTTCATGCGTAGAGTGGGGTCCTGTCTTTTAGTTACGCCACTGAACTCAGCGGCCATGTCAGAGACCTCGAGGATCAAGTACAACTACCCATCATTTAAAACAACTGACCAGAGAGAGGAGAGTCAGTCAGCAGCACGAACTGCTATTCTTGACAGACAGAGGCTATCTGAGCTAATTATGAACTGACAGAGGCTATCTGAGCTAATAGTGAACTGATAGAAGCTATCTGAGCTAATTGTGAACCGATAGAGGCTATCTGAGCTAATAGTGAACCGATATAGGCTATCTGAACTAATAGTGAACTGATAGAGGCTATCTGAGCTAATAGTGAACCGATAGAGGCTATCTGAGCTAATTGCGAACTGACAGAGGCTATCTGAGCTAATAGTGAACTGATAGAGGCTATCTGAGCTAATAGTGAACTGACAGAGGCTATCTGAGCTAATTGTGAACTGATAGAGGCTATCTGAGCTAATAGTGAACTGATAGAGGCTATCTGAGCTAATAGTGAACC